GAGGGGAGGGGAGGGGAGGGGAGGGTGTGTGTCTCCTCGCCCTCTCGAGTTGCCTACTGAGGTTCACAGGAGTGGCTTACCGACATGACGAAGCTGAAGGCCGGACATCTGCGCATCAGCTCTCTTCACCAGTGGACCACCTGCAAAGGGCATGCTGGACTACAAAGACGACAACAAGTTGCACGACGAGCCGACGTCTTACGCTTTCATCTTCCGGGTTGGCTCCTGCTTCAAGAGCTTGTTGAGGTGGATGGCCATGAAAAACGGCTGCAAGGCCAAATTGGCTGATTGGCTGAAATCAACGATGGATCTGGAGATCGACGAAGATGCTTTGATTGACATCCAGACTCTTGGCATCCTTGAGCTGCGCTCACCTGGATGCCTAGCTGGGGTTCTGCATTTGACCGCCCGCGCGGAAGCCAAGGATCAAACGAATTCACGAGTACAAGAGGCAGCTGATGAACATCCTGCTTCTTGGCAGCACTGTGACCTATGGTCTGGACGATGTCGTCCTTTTCGTCCACGATGCCGAACTTATGCTCATTTGCCCTGCAGTTTCGTCATCCACCGCTACCTGGACCTGAAGAAGAAGTCTCCAGGTGAACGTGCCGCCGTGCAGAAGCGTGTGGTCCTGATTGGCGGGAAGGCACGCTTTCGCTGGTGCAACCGGCAACTCCCTCAACTTTTCCCGGTCCCTCCTCTTCGACACACTGTAGGCCGCGTCGGCATATGTCAATGCGAAGATCATTATCAAGCTCATCAACAACGTGGCAAAGGCTGGCCACCGTTTCCACCGCAGCGGTGTGGCAAAAAAGTCGGAAATCACGGGGAGGTGGAGGTGGAGCTGGAGGGAAAGGGAGAGGGAGGAGAGCCTAGAAACACATTTTCCCATGTACCGGTCCTACGAGGATCCTACTTGTACTCGTGTTTCTTTTGGGCTTGGTCGGACACGTACCAAGGAAAGGAGATGAGGGAGACAAAGCCACGAAGCCGATGTCAAAGCGGATTTTTTTTGCTCATTGACCGCGTGCTCCAGTGGCCCGCGAAGACCTGCTACAGGTAGCTCGAGTGGCCATCCCCTGCGGAAGCAGGAGAAGCCACAGCTTTCACTTGCGTCCAGCAACGTCGTTTCACACCGAAGGTATCGGATTGCGAGAAAGACAACGAGACAGAGAGAGGAGAGAGAGAGAGAGAGAGAACCACAGTCGGAGAGAAGGAGCCGGTGGAGAAAAAGCTTGAATCGCTGTTTTGGGAGCCGTGAATGACGAGACTAAACACCGGAATTTGGTGGATTTGGGATGGTGCACCGCCACTGGATTCTCATTGCCAGATTCGCGCGACAAGCGTCGCCTCCGCGGTTTCTTGTGCCGACGTCCGGTGCCGAGACTTCAACCATCTTCAACCTCAAGGCCCGACAAAGAGCGGCGCTTCACGCCTGGGCCACGACATGAGTGTAAGGGGTTCTTCGAGGAAAGGGGGCCAGAAAAAAGAATAAAGAGGACGGAAACAAAGAAAAAAACCTCGATTGAAAAGCTGCCGGAAAAAAAGAAGCTGACCGGGTTTGAAACGCCGATTTGACAGGTGATCAACAATGACCCCGAGACACAGCAGTACCTCAAGTGCCTCGACAGTCTGGGCATCAGTTCAATGCAGGAATTCTGAAGAAGGATCATTCTCTTTTTCATGGCGTTGTCCCTGGAAGGTGCGCCTTCGTGCCGAACTACTGTGTCTCCGCGGCACAGGTGATGATCCCCGCATCGGACATCTCGGAGCACATTTCCACTGCTGGAACAGAAGCTTGATACACATGGCCAGGAGTTACGGACGTTCTTTCGTGGGCCTGGGAACTTTTGTGTGCATCATCTGCCAAGGAAGCCTCTGGCACATCCAACATGAAGCTACCTGGAAAGTTTTGCCGCAGAGAATCATCGTTCCGTTGCATCCACTCTGAATCTAATGAGCTGACTGCAGTGGCTGAAGCCCGTGATTCCGATGCATCGATCGTGGTACGTTGTCCAAAACCTAAATTATCAGAACAGATTTGTTGACAGTCCCCTTTCTGCAAACGCGCGGACAAACCGACCAACCGAAAGTCAGCGGATGCACCTTTACACAGACAATGTTTCTTCGCATCTGTCTTGGGAACGAAATTGCTATGCGGTCTTCTCAAGGTTTGTCATGAATGGTGGTCTGATTGTTGGAACGATGGATGGTGCGAACATCGAGATCAGGGAGGAATGTGGCATCCTGCCTTCAAGTTATCCGTCGCATTGAATGTGCTGGCGCGTCTGTCTGACACCAGGCCACGATACGATGTTCATCTTCGGATGCCAGGAAAATGAGGCCGAGACATTGAGAGCACAGGGCACAGGGCACGGGACAACAAGACAACAGCGAGCATGACAGGTGGCGGGCATCGCTGCTCGGGCGCAGGAAGGCCACTATCCGATCGATGGGCGCCTGCAGGCCGAGACTGAACAACGTGGCACGTTGCGATGCGTTGCGCACCACGTTTTTCGTGGGCCGCTTTTCTTCCCTGCGCTTCCCTGCGGGTCCCTGCAGGCCGTCTTTGACGAGATTCGCAGCGGCAAGTTCGCGGGCCAGGTGGTCAGAACTTCTGCTTGGTGCAGCACGCGTAAGTCACTTAAGTCCTTCAGCCAGGCCGAGCCCGAGGCGCAGGGTGAGTTCGAATCGCTGATCAACCGCATGTGCAACACCCGCGCGGCAGGATCCTTCGCCGTTGCACACTTTTGCACACCTTTGCACACCTTTGCACCTGCAATTGACTCCTCGTGCCCGCATCGCAGGAACTTGGGATGGAGACAGGCGACTTGGCTGGAGTTCTGTTGGCTGCACGCGCAAGAATGCTTCCCTGACCCAGTGTTGTCATTCACTGGATGAGGTATTTGGTGATCCATGACTTCCCTTCGTTCATCGATGCGCAGGCACTCCTTTGACGCGGTTGTGTGAAGCACCTGGTGGCGCATTTTCCATGCCTTCCTTCTTGATTGTCCAAGCTTCAGGCGAGGGTGGATGAGACCTACAAGAATAGGCACCAATGGTGCAAGCTGAGCATCCAAGCAGCCGCCTCCATGGCGTGACTTGGCAGAGCATACGCATTGTCCACGGCTGCTCCTGAGTGCGGTGCAGTTTGTCAGAGTTCCACTCGAGGCAATTCTCCACCGATCGAACCATGCGAGAGTACGCCAAGGACAGCCTCGGATGTGCATACATCCTCAGTCGAAGCGATGTCTGGGATAGCTCTTGAGGTGATCTGGGAGATCGAGCCGGCCAGGCGCCCCGTGAACGAGGCCAGCGCCAGGATGCGCCTGGCCGCTGCTCGGAGAGAGCATCCTCTTTTGTCTGTCGCAGGAGATGGCGGCGAGGAAGCAGGCGGTTGGGAAGGACAAAGAGACCATCGCCAAGGAAGCGGCGGAGAACGCCGCGGCCAAGGAGGCCGCTGCCAAGGAAGCAGCGCAGGCTGCTGCTGTCAAGGAGGCAGCTGCGAAGGAAGCTGCCAAAGAGGCTGCGACCAAGGATGCGCTTGCCAAAGAAGCAGCCAAGGAAGCGGCTGCAAAGGACGCAGCTGCCAAGAAAGCTGCAAAGGATGCTTCTGAGAAGGAGGTAGCTGCCAAGGAAGCTGCAAGAGATGCAGCCGCTAAAGAGGCAGCTGCCAAGAAGGCTGTCAAGGATGCCGCAATCAAGCGAGAGGCAGCTGACAAGGAGGCCAGCAAGGCAGGGCGAGAGGCAGCAGCCGAGAGACTGAACATTTGCCTTGGCCTTGGCCTTGGCGCCTCGGTTTTTGTGGGGTCGCAGGCCGACGCCAAGGCCGCCCCGGGCAGAGGCCGGTGAGTTGCGCATGGCGCAGAGTCGCCCGAAATGTATGGCTGCTCATCACTCCGAGGCTGAAGAAGCCGATCCCCTCAGCGACTTCGAGAATTTTGACACAATCTCTTCCCTGTCCTTTTTATGATTCGTAGTGCCAGGTCAGGGACCAGGGACCTGTGAGCCCTACTAGGTTACTAGGGGTTCCCGACTGGGCAAAGACCAGATGAACAGGTTCCCAGAAATGCGACATGCGAGTTTTTAAGGCGATGGATTATTGCGGGTCTTGCAATGTTATTGCAGGTTCGCATATTTTCCAGCCGAGCAGAGGAAGGTTGTCCTTTATGATGTTTACCTAGAGCCACACGCCAGTTACGGTAGTTTGCCAGCCGCTCTCCTTTGTCCTCCCAGACTCAGCAAATCGCACCGCCATCGTGGAAGATTCGCGCATGTTTGAGGTGGACCATCATGTTTCAAGATTTTGTGCAGACCGAACGTTCTGGTGCCGCACATTCCGTGTCTCGACAGATTCACCCAATCGGTCCTGACGTGTGGGGCAGATCACTGGGCTTGGCACCAACCCTTGGCCAGGAAGCTGGTTCCCCTGAACTCTCACCGAGTTCCATCATTTCAGACCAGCATCACAGAAGTGTGCTGGAGAGATGCCGTCGCGAGCATCGGAAACAGAGCGTGTAGCTGGGGATCCAGCGGAACGAGATGTGCTGAGTCAAATTCCACCAGCATCAAGGCCTTTGGTTTGGAGTCACAGTGCCGCATTATCTGCCCAGCTTTACATGGTAAACTGGTAAACATGTTTTTGCTTTTCATCCCCGTACACTTCCAAACAGTCAGCATTCAAGCAGATGCGCAAGCCGAGCTAACAACCTCACATGATTCTCGGCCTTTGCAGTTTCGTTCACGAGCGATGGCAAGCTATGCGATCATTCCTCCTGGCGATCTGACAATTTTGGAACGTCAAGTCGCTTCTGGAACGGAGAAGCTAATTCACAAGGCCAGCTGGAAAGGCGGCCGGCGGGGGAAAGAACTGCTGTGCACCTATGCAGTGGATTCTCGTCGTGTCTTTCTGTGTCGTTCAGGACAGACGGTGGCGGTGCTGGATGTCCGGGGCAGCTCCCGCCAGTTCCTCAGTGCTTGTCTCCTTTTGGTTCGGCCAACCATGACACCTGAACAGAGGCTGTAGGCCAACTTTTGAAGCCAATATTGTCGTCCAGAAGAGCACTCAGGCCAGTTCGAGAGGGAGCTGCAACAACTACTGGTTGAAACACCACTGGGAACTCATCCACACGTGGTCCAGCGCCTGGGCCGACCGGTGCCATGACATGTTGTTTGCACAGACTAGACGACGTCCGCCGAAGGAGCTGTCCATCACCAGGAACGAAAAAGTGCCTCCCTGATCTCAGCCATTGCCACCCCATGCACGAAGTCAGGATCCTGGGAGAGACCGACGATGGCCAGATCGTCAATGAGTGGGCTCCTCTCGGGTCCATGATCCTTGGCATGGCATTTGGAAAAGCCACACCTGTGTGTCTCTTGTTGAGACGTAACGGTTGGTTCATCGCTGACTGCGCGGGTAATCATCAGACAACGATTTCCGCGACGCAAACACATGTCGTCTTATTCAACTGTTGCGACTTGCTTTCGCTTGTCGATTAGTACGGTGCGGCTGTGAGGCACTGTTTGCAGTCCATTCAGAAGTTGTGTGCACATGTTGACCAGTCATGTTTTCGAGTGACGGGTTGCCGACATATTCTGTGCTTAAATGCTTGCACATGTCGTTTAGGTAAATGCAGCTTTGACTTATGTCATGCCGTTACTTGCGGTGCAGCTGCAACATATGACCACAAATCCCCCGTTGCTGACAAGAACGTGGGGTCCTTATCTTCAGCTTTGTGGTGACTGGTCTTCGTCCATCTTCGGCCACTGGCCACTGCTGTTTGTATTGCTGTCCATGCGGATTTAAGTGTGGCAACAAGCTGCGTCCGGCACGGAGGAGTGATAACAGTTGCTTGACCACACGCGGCTCCCTGCCAAATGTATTAAAAGGGGATCTCCGCCACTGGCAACAGTGATCGCGGCCATGTGCCACAGCCCTTGACTTCTTCTTCGATGAATGCATAGTGTTCAGTCGCCATCGCACATCGCCTCTGTTTACGTCTGAAAGATGTTTTCAGACTGCCGCGGCCATGGTCTCACATAGATCCGTGTGAATTTGGTGAGCATTGATAGATTCTGTGATCTGCAGACTCCTCAAGAATGAAGCTACAACAACGTCAGTCGCCAGGTAGTGGATCTCCCCTCACTTGGCTAAGCTTTCATTCCTGATGTGGTCTGGGAGAAAGCTAAGGACCAACTACGATGGTTCAAGAACGCACTTCACAACCATGGCGGGCTCGCTACCCGACTGGCTTACGAGGTTTTACTTGGAGTATGCGAGTCTATGAATGCTTGGCGTGTTTGTCTGAGATGACCAAATGTATGTAATGTACTGTATGCACCTTTTCACTGCGTCAATGTATGCGACGAATCTATGTCATCTAAGTCAGTATGCATGCATGCATGCATGCATGGATGTATGTATGTATGTATGTATGTATGTATGTATGTATGTATGTTTGTTCGTACGTATGGATGCATGTATGATTGTATGCAGGTGTGCATGCCTCTTTCCGGATCCATGCAAGCATGTCAAGTTGTGATCGACACACAGCCAACGGGATCAGTAGACTACGACGTATACTCCGTTCGGCCCCGGCTTGTACAGATGAGACCAGACTTGTGGCGCGAGAACCCAGCAACCCGATTTCACCAAGTGACCAGAGCCGGCGACTTGGCTCGTCTTACATCGTCGGCGCATGGCTCATAGTCAGAGCTCTTAGGCATCCAAGTTGCGAATGCATCATGCATCATCCAGAGTGCAAACACAGATTTCCAGCCATGCGTAGGGCGTAAACAGCAAGCTCAACATCCTCCACGTCGGCTCTCGTTTCTGGAATCATGGTGGGGTTGCGCTTGTTGCGGGTTGCTCTTCCTGCGCATCATGGCAGTGGCTCCGAGGTGATATCCTCGGGAAGGCAGGCCTCCTCATTCCAGTCTTTTCGGACCCAGCCCCCACGCGGATTTGTGCCTGCTTGCGTTTTGCACTTTGACTCCTCCTTGTGCCCTTGTGATTTGTCGGGCCTAACAGTTCTGGTGCTGCGTGGACTGGTCGGCAGTTCGATGCGCGAGTGCGTGAGTACGGGTGCCTATGCCTGTGCCTGTGTCCGCGCAAGTACTGCGCTGGATATCATCGGCTTGGTTGCGACGAACAAGACATGCAAGAGGCAGACCCGAGCGAAGCCTCCAGACTGTTTTCGGCCGAGGTTATCTTGGTCACTCCTGGCTGTCATTGCCTGCCAAGTGGCGTCTGCGGCCGAGGCCCCTTTGCTGGTTGGGCTGTAGGGATGAAGGCCGGGGCAGGTTTCAGAATGCTCTGAGGCGTTCTGGAACTCGAGTTTGCTCCATCGCGACCTAGCTGCCAGGAACGTTCCTTGCCACGGGACATCACGAGTGTGCGTATGGAATCTCAGAGGTTGGGAGCACTAGGCTTGTGACATTCTGGGTGTAATGGCTTTGCCTGAGTAGCTGTGCGTGGCCTAAGCAAGAAATTAGGCATGCCAAGTAGGTAGGATGCTAGGCTGCAGAATCGGCGCATCCTAGGTGTTGGTCTTCAGCCTCGACCCCCCACTGGTAAAGCTGACAGATTTCGGCCTGGTAGCTACCTCTGGGCAGGAACGCCGCTGGGATGGAAGAGCAGTCCGTCAAACAACCGGATTGTATCGCCAGAAGTATTGCAAATGCAGAAGCGAAAGAAAGTGCTGCATGCGAATTGGAATGTCTTCTTGAGGCTTCACGTGGCCGAAGGGTCACGCCATGGGGACTCGGTGGATGGCACCAGAAAGCCAGCCTGATTCCGATTTCCATTTCGATGACAAGACGGACAGCGTTTGTTGCCTCAGGCAGAAATCAACAGCTTGTCTACCTTAGGGGACGGATTCAGTGTTGAAGGAGATCTATACCTTCGGCTGCTTCCTTTTCGAGTTGGCGACGCGGGGGACCCTGGTACCCTACTCTCGCACGGGGAATGATCGCATTCCCGCCCTGCCGCCCGGCGAGAAAGAGGCTCCGGTGCATGCCTGTCCGGGTGGCTTCTCATGAGGGTATGCGCCCAGATCGTGATCCAAAGTGCCAGTCTTCAACCCGAGCAACCTGAAGTTTGATACTACAGCTGCAGAATTCCAGAATGCCGCACATGAGGAAGAGGTCCGGGGCGCTTCCCTGGGCGGACCTCGGGGCTCCATCTTTCCCAGCAGGCTTTCGCCAGCTGATTGAGGCGGCGAGCGACGAAAGCATCATTCGAGTGGTGCCCTCTTCATGCAGAATCTGAAGTCGGGAAAGCATGACTACCGGTTTTGTTGTTTTTCTGTGCGTTTTCATGTGCATGTGTGTATGCATGTATGCATGCATGTTCGCATTATGTAAGTATGTATGAATGCTCGTATGTCTGTATGATGTATGGATGTAGGTACGTCTGTCTGTCTGTCTGTCTGTCTGTCTGTCTGTCTGTCTGTCTGTCTGTCTGTCTGTCTGTCTGTCTGTCTGTCTGTCTGTACTGATATGTCGCCAGATAGATATAGACATGTGACATAGATATAGACATATCGGGGCATAGACATATATATATATATATATAGCTACAGACGGAGTGGCTTTCTTTTTTTACGGTCTCGCTCCGGAGCTTGCGACGTCTCAGATGTGCTGCGAGCGCCTGCCTGGGAATCGCCCGAGCTTCGGCCAACTCCAAAAGTACCTGCAGCGACTGCGGGAGACGGATGGTGAAAGTATTCTTCCTGCGAGCACACTGGCGTGCCCGCTGAACGAGGACCCCAGCCACTTGTAGAAATTGACAGGAAGGTTCATGGCTTTCTGATTTTGATTTTGGGCCAATTTGAGGGTCCCGCCCAGAGCCAGGTAAGCCCTGGGTGCCTACATCTCCTCTGCTGCGGGTCTTCGACCGCGACTCCGTGCTGCCGGCAGAGCTGAGCGACCTGCAGTCGAAGACGACTGTTTGGAGAATGTCCCGGGACCAGGCCGGGCATTCTTTTCCGGAAGCGCGAGATCCGAAGGATGACGGGGAGCAAAGGCTGTTCCGCTGGACTCCGGCTCTGTCAGGTCTACTCGCTGCCCCTTTTCAGCGACATGGCCTGCGATGCCTTGCTGCTTGGCTTGTATGTGCAGCCGCGAGTCAAGCCCTCGATGCACTGTCAGCACAAGTCTCCATTGCTCCTCACCTGTCAGAGCCGAAGGAGGGCTGCAAATGTTGCATTTGGCACAAGGCTGGAGGACCTCATCCTGTTTCATCGCGCGGGGTGCCAGAGCTGAACTGCTCTGTCTTGCTTGTGCTGTGAAAAAGAGTGCAACGCAGTACTTCTGCAAGTAATTTGCGACGGCTGTCATCCGCTGACATGCGCGGATGCATCGGCAAGCGACTGAGCACCTCTGCCAGTAACGAATGATGTTCACTGTCCTGGCAATAGCGTCGCCTGAGTTCTCACATCTTCATGCTGTTGTCTTGTCCCGAAACTTTGTGGCACGGCTGATCTCATCACCAGAAGTGGCTGCTTCTACGTCCTGTGCGAGTGTCGTGTTGAATGCCCACAAGCGCACACCTGCATTACCTTCCGAATGGTGGCTGAGACAATGCTTCACAATGGTCGCTTTGCTGTGTAGATCAGAGACCTGACCCAAGTACACGGGAAATCGGATTGTTGGGTCCATCGGCGTTTCTGTTGTTCATGTTGTCATTACATGGCAAGCTTGTTCTGCTCGCATGATCTTGCGGAGATTCTCGGTGGTTTTTCTAAAAGTCAACTTAGATTGCCATCTGCGCGAGATTCCTGATCATGAAATTGCTACCGTTTTCCGCCGTAGTCAGAGCTTTAAGGAAATCCTGGCTTCCAAAAATGCCTTGCTATGGACCTGTGCCCATGCATCAGGCGACAGACTTCCCGGGCAAATTCCAACAACCGCTTCTCACTGCGGCTTTCCGAGCTCGGCAGCTAGGCCGAAATTCAGGGCCCACGGTTCCCTTGGGCTGCGTTCGCCGTTCGCGCCCTTGCGGAGACCTGAGATGATGCCGAGGCTACGAGCCCTTCCTTCGGGCCCTCGTTGAAGAAGTTGCTTCGCCCCTGTTTGGACAGCTGCAGGACCGGACACACGGCAGGGTTGTGGTGAGCTGAAAATCACGTAGTGCAGCGCCTGCAAAGGGAGATCCCAACCTCAAACTCGCCTACCGGCACGGACACACGGTGCAGCGTGTGCACGACGACGCCATTGAGAAGTCTCCCTTGCCGGGCAGCAACAGAGGGTCCCTCCACACCGATGACAGCGACGTGACAGTGAATGCCTTCCGGCAGAATACAGTTTGTATCATGTGAGCTTCTAGCCCTCTGGTTGTAGCCCTCACGCGGCCGCAGAGGTCAACATTGGCGGAGACTGGTTGGGCGGTGGATTGAAATTCTTCGAGGATGACTCGGAGGAGCCTTCCCTCGTGTTACCCCAAGCAAAGGGCCAGGCGTTCCTACACCGAGGAAAGATTCGGCACCAGGCAGGGGAATCTGCAGTGCAGCCTCTTGCTCTTTGTTGGCACATACTCTTTCAGGCTGGGCTGCTGACTGCAGGCTATCGCTTTAATTTGGTGATCTGGTGTGACGTCGTGCACAGTTCGCGCACCTAGATCAGTAAAAGACGTCGGGCCGTGCTTGGCGAAGTGCACCTTCCCGGGCGGCCTTGCTGCCAGGAGGGTCTCGCGGATTTGTTTCATTTTCTTGTGGGTGCTTTGTACAGCTGCCGTCCATGAAGAGATGGTTGGCACAGGTCTCGTTGAATCACTCAGGGACAGGAGCTTCAAGCATGGCCGGGTCACACAAAAGCAATTCAGGAGGCCTTGCGAGTCGCAGTGGCAGTGGAACCTTTGCTTGAAGAGGGAACCAGTCGCGGCCAGCTCTTCGCAGCTTTACTCACAAATCTGCTTACTCCGGTTCATAGCATGTCAGCTGTGCACCTTGATCGGCAGATAAGCAAACCGACAGATCCGAAAATTTTGCCATGGAAATGGGCGCAAGTGCTTAGTGCACTAAGCCCAGATGGTCTGGATGTGGCTGCTCGTCTTCGCTCCGGTCCGTGTCTTGTCGCTCTCCGTTCCTCCGACCCGTCCAAAGCAGGCTGGACCAATGCAGACCAATTCGTTGCCCCAGTCTGTGTTAATCCATGCAGCAACTTGACAGTGATAGGCTGAACTTCGCACTACGTGGTCAACAGCTCCCGAGATCACGAGGACCGGATTTAGAAGCGTGTGATGACAGGGGCTCATTGGGGCAACATCGTCCGCCGCCCTGTAGGCGCCTGTGGAGCTCATTCGCCACATTGGGCTTGGGCTTGGGCACCGTCACTTCGAAGACGGAAGCTGCCGAATCCGCCCTGCGCTTCAGGTCGGAGACGGTCGAGGTGCCGGGTGCAAACGAGTTCTCTCCATGGAACAAGCCGCGCGACTACAGAGCATGCACACTTGCGAACGGGCTGCGAGTCCTTCTGGTGTCTGACATGGAGACGAGCAAGATCGATGCCGCCTTCACTGCAGGTTTCGGGCAGTTCGATGATCCGCTTGAAACCTCTGGGGTGGCTCATCTCACGGAACATCTGCTGCTCTCGAGCCCAGGTCCAAACGGAGCCGAGCCGCTGGAGACGTGGCTGGAAGAGCCGGCACGCGACGGAGATTCCAACGGCTTCACTGCCTTTGACAATGCTCTGTTCACAGTCTCCTCTAACATGAACGAGTGGCGGTCTGCGCTTGCCCGCTTCGCCTATTGCTTCAGGCGGGCAACGCCCCATGATCCTCGCTTCCAGGCTAGTGCGGTGCAGCGTGAAGTGCTCAGAGTTGATGATGAATTGAGCGGCCGGCCATCGGCAGCAGTGCGGAACTTGCAACTCCTTCGCCGCCGAGCAGTCTCTGGGCATCCTCTGCGACGTTTTGGGCCAGGCAGCCTGAAAACCTTGCTCCCGAGAGGTCAAGTACGGCAGGACTTGGCCGAGCTGGGCACAGTCTCTTGGTTAATGTTAGGGATCCTTTTCGCTTCTTGCGGCTTGGGGTTATAATGGTTGCAATGTGCGCCCATCAAACAATTCTTGTTCTGTTTTGTCTACCAGGGGCCAAGGTTTGCCAAGCATTCTTTGAAAGACATGTCTGTGCCGAAACATCAACCCTTGCGGTCGTTGCAGCTGTACCTTTGGATGAGCTGGAAGAGGCCGTGGCCTTTGCCTTTCAAGACGTACAGACCGGGGTCAAGAGCTTCGATCGCATTGCGGTGCCCGACCCGCTGCCAGAAACTTCCGGCGAAGCCCTCATTCCCCCCTGCTTCGTCGTGGACGTGAGTGCAAACCCCGCAGTCAGCATCACCTGGAGTTTACCTTTCACGGATGCCTCGGCCGCGTCTTTCCGTGCCTCGAAGCCCCAGGTGGTCTTGTCTCACCTCGTTGCTCACCAGGGGCCTGGATCTCTCTCAGCTTGGTTGCGAGAGAAGGGCTGGGTCCCAGCGAATTTGGGCCCAAAAGTTTCCGCCCAAACGGTCTTCATCACTGAATCCGGATTTGCGCTGTGGGAGATCAAGGTCCGACTCTCCCCCAGAGGCCTTGCTCAGTGGCGCCAGGTGGTCGCCGCAGTGTTCGGCCTTTTGGCAGCATTACGCCAGAGCCAGAGCCGCAAGAAGAGAGGCGGAGGCGGACGCGATGTCTTGCGCGAGGCGGCAGACGAGGTGTCGGCCCTGGCCGACGTTGCCTGGCGCTTTCCTCCGCGTCCCCCGCTCGCCCGGGAACTCGCCTTGGACATGAGGTCGGCGCCACGCCCTGCGGCGTACGTTTGTGCATCTCGACGGATCTTCTCCGCCACAGAGTGGGGTCCCAGTGCAGGTGCTTGGAAAAACTTGGACCAGACAGAGAAGGCTGCTCGCTTCACCACTCCACTTGCTCGAGAGGCTTCGTCAGAAGAGGCGGGGAGGATGCTCGATCGTCTTCTCCCTCAGCTCGGGCGAATCACCGTTTTCAGCACGACTCCGCAAGCGATCACACCCATGCAAGATCCAGACCTGGGGCTGGACTACGGCGAGCTTCGTGTATCCAACGCAGACCAGAAGCAGTGGATTCTGGCCTCCAGTACTCCGTCTGGCTGGTGGCAAATGCCAGCCACAAATTTGTACTTGTCCAAAGCCGAGAAGATTGAAAGGTCCTCGTTGCTGGCACCTGGAAAGGCCGCAATGGGAAAGCCAAACAAGAAGGTAAATGGGGTTTACTGGTCTGACAGTTGTCGTCCAACTCAAATTCGGATGCCGGTCTCCCAAGTGACCCAAGCGACTCCCAAATTTGTGTGGGACGTTCCCGGCTGCATCTACGTGTCTGGCCAGTTCAACGAGCTGGTGGTTCCTCTGGGCGAAGAGCCCCTGGTGACTCTGACTCTCTGGTTGCCTGCAGCTCGTATCGCAGAAGCATCACTGCAGCAGCGTGCTGCAGGGCGCGTCTGGCTCAAGTCTTTGCAGTGCGAATTGGAAAGTCCCTTTTACGGCGCTGCACTGGCAGGCTGCCGCTGGGAGGTTGCATTCTTCACGACAGGTTCCGAGCCATCAGAAGCAGGCATGCGACTTTGCTTCCAAGGATATTGTGACAACATCGTGACATTCGTGCCTGATGCCGTTCGTGCGATTGTGGGACACGTGGGCCCTTCGTCTGAAAACTTGGAGTCGTTGCGAAGTCTTGCCATCGCAGAAGTGCCCACGCGTGGTGCAGAGATGAGCAAGCTGGTTGCCTGCCTTAAGAGTTTGCAGATCTCGGACATTCGGGACGAGGTAGAGGCCTTGTGGACGAGTGTTTCGGATTCATTCGGATCCTCACAGGCGCTCGTTGCTGGTGCCTTGGAGAAAGAACAAGCCAGCGAGCTGGTTAGGGATGCGATCGAGCTTCTTCCACTCCACTTCGCTGGGCCCAGCAACTCTCCGTTGAGCAGTTCAGAGCCGTTACCGCCAGCTGTACTGACGCGTCGGCCCTCCTGGCAAGGACAGATTTGAGCGATTCGTTCACGGGGTGCTGCACTCTTCAACATGATGTCTTGTGGCACACTGTAGTCGCTACAGCTTAGTAGACTCTTTTGAGGCAGGTAGGGTCAATCATGACTTTGGCGGCAGACATACAGCAAAGCCGAGTTGCACGCATCGTTACGTTTCATGCTGAACTCGCTCAAAGCTGCAACCCTGAAACTCAAACTTTACTCCAACATGTGAAGTTTGCGGCGCTTTGCAGGCTTCATCTGCTTGACAGGTGCATCCAGCAAAACAGTCCGTGCCAGATATGGTCGTGGTCAGCCTGCTGCCATCATCAAAGCCAGGCGAGAGGCTGCAACAAGAACTCAAGGGCAGAGCCCTTTGAAGAAATCTCCGGCACCCCTGAATCTCGTGTGATGGGTGGTGGAGGTTCGGGACAGTACCTCGATGTTGCTGTTTCGCGTAGAAACTGTGAAGGGGCCGAGGTGCTTAAGCATTGCCTTCTCAAGGACCGGTCGCTCAGAGCTTGTGCTTGGCGTCGGGCCTACCGGAGCTGCTGGATGTGTGTGGGCGCACTTGGCGATGATTTTGCTGGAGGGCTGATGTGCCTTCACTACACAAGGTTTGCGGAGTTTCATGGTTCGGTGCCATGCAGCTGGAGGTCGCAAGGCCGTGTTTCGCATGAAGGTAGCTCAATCCGATGGGGTTCTCGGAGCTTCACTGCAAAGCCGGATGCGACTATGCCGCACTCATCTTCACCTCACTGCAGACACTGAGTGGCACTGCAAGTGTTTCACGACTTGCTGATTTGCATGGCTTACCCTGGTCCTGGTCGTCATCTTGATTTTCCTAACTTGCGCTATTTGCGTAATGCTGATGCTCTACTCAAGATCCGCAGGCGCGGGCACGAATGTCCATCCGCCCGGGGCAGGTGCCGGCACTAGCCTACAAGGAAGAAGATGCAGAGCATGCAGGCAAAGTGGCAGAGCAGTTCGTGGATTGGGCACGGAGGCTTGAAGATCTTCCTGAGCCTGCAACAAGACCGAAGAAGAGACTGTTCCAACAAATGCGAGGAGGTTTACGTCCCTGCTTCGGCTCCGACCCAGGGCCCAGGATTCTCTGAACCTCTGATGGGAGATGCGAGTCAAGGCAGTGGCTTGGGGCCTCCACCTGACCGGCCGTCCTTGCCTGTGCCGCCAGCACCGCGACCCCTGGCAACACCCCTTGCGAAGCACGTGGCTGGAAAGAGGAAGCTCGAAACGAAGGAGCCTCCACAGCTAGAGGGTTAGCCAAGTTCAAGAGGCTTAAGATCTCTGGACGAGAAAAGGCTGGACAGGGAAGCACCTTTCACCGTCAGAGCACCCTTAAACCTGAAGATCAGGCTGCCGATTCAAATCCAAATCTCGCTTCTGAAGCGCCGATGCTGCAGCGTTTTTTCAACGGGAGACCTACGTTAGCTGCCGTTAGCTCCGGTGGTGGTGGACGGTTCGCCCCCTGTTCGGCGACATCCATCCAGTCCGGCACATTGTAATCTTATCCCAAGCCCGAAATTCATGTCTGAACTCATGTGCTTAACACCGGATCTCATCTGCAACGCATTGCCAGTCCAGGAACAAAGCTATGCAATTTGAGCATGCGCGGATCTACAGCACAAACTTCAACCGCCGAGTCATACTGGATTGTCGCCGGGGGTGGTACGAGCCCCCCTACTCGATGGCCCTTGTGCTCCATGGAGCGCGATGCGAGGATTGAGCCCATCGATCAGCAACCTGCCTGACACAAGACTACGGCTCAGTAATCACGAAAGCTAGTGCAGAGCGGGAGTTGTCGTTTACCATTCACTTAGGCAGAAGACAACTAGGTCAAAATTGCATGCAGGACCTTGTATGGTCCGTTCACAATAGTTAGTAGGGGGAGAGGGGAGGCAGCCCGTGCCAACACGCAAATGCTTGATTTAGAGAAAATACGGAGGCCCCCCCCCCAACCACAAGGTCCCGGCAACATTGTGTAAGGTGGCCCAGGCCCCACCTTTGGTCCCCCCTCCCCTCCCACCTCAATCTGTTTAAGCAGCATGGCAACTTGCGTTTTGTGCTTACGTGGCCGAGTGATAGCAGGTTTCACGTCTGAAGCTGCCACCAGGACAGATCGAAGCTGCTCGTAGATGGCCGAGAAATTGCTAATGCAGCGGCACTCAATGTAGAGCAGAACAATGCTATCATGTTGCAGGCTTAAGCTTCATGGCACTGCATGCGTGCTTGCATCCACGCTGCCCGAGCTCTTTCGACTCTGGTTCCTTTTTTGCCCGAGCTGGTTAGACTTCGTTGCCTCTTCTCAAGTTTCATCCGGCGTTCCTTCACCACCTGAATCCTGCAGCCCCTGCACCAAGGCAATGTACCACGATCATCTTCAGAGGCATGAACAGGTGCGGGTCCTACCACAGGTTCCGCCTCGGATGTTTCGTGATTGTGCGGTCAGCTGTCGGTCCCCAGGCCTGGTAGCTGAACCCCGGGCCTGAATGCTTGTAAAGCCACGGTGACAGGCAAGTCACCAGAGAGATGATGATCACGTTGTTGTTCCTTGGACGCCTCCAGTCGTGTGGGCTTAGCCTTTCAGTCATCCAGGCGATGCCGAGAGCGAGCCGTTGTGTCCACATGTAGAGGGCGAGCCGTTGTGTCCACATGTACACTTGGCGCCATCATTGAGCGACCGAGGAATGAAACTGCACCGTCTTCCTGGCCAACTCCCAGGCACAGGGCTGTGGGCAGCGGCTTCGAGCTTCAACAAATTTGACTTGACACAGAGTCTTTGGAGTTGGTTTCTTGTTCTCAGACCCTCCCAGTTCCCCAGTGGTTGCAGCATTTTCGAACAAGCTGCTCGTGACCGACCAAGAAGAGGGCGATCTGCTCGTAAGCTCATCGGTTTGGGACTGTTGTGATAGAGCTCATGGCATGCTTGGCTTTTGCTGGGCGCCCAACGGCCCCAAAACACATTCACGTTGTTTCACTTGTGTTTTTTGCCATCGGAGGTACAACTATGTTTATGTCCCGTGGACCACCGACGGGGCTTCCAACATCGGCCTGGGGTTCCCTAGATGCAGCGGGGCCGGGGGGGGAGGGGCGTAGTGGGCCAAGTTTCGCTGTCTTTCATGGTGGAGCTTTTTTGTGGCTTGCATACATTGCACCAAGTCTTACTCGACTGTGTGAAATGTCGCCTATCGACCCTTGATGAGGCTGTTCAGAAGCCAATCCCAACAGCCTAAGCGGTCTTGCACTCAGATGCATCTGGAGCCCAGGTTTGCAAATTTTGAGACTCCAACGGCATGCCAGGCAGGGCTTGCATCTCAAATTGGGTGTTTTTGAGCGGGTGTCAGCAGCTATTAGGATGTCGAACAGTGCAGTCCTGAGGCATATCAACGAGGAATTAGCTGGGAATTTCAGGGGCATTCGGGCTCAATCAACGTTGCAACGTTGTGTCCACACGTCACCCCGGCGTAGGATTTCACTTTCGAGGGGCACCTGGGACAAGTGCACCGAAGCGACTGGAAAAACATGCCAAAGTGTGCTGGTGCTTATGAAGGTGTGATCATGGCTAGCGCATGGATGCTCTGGTAGCTGCAAAGATTGAAAACAGTAACAGGCGCAATATTTTCGACGTGAACCATGCAAAACATTGAAAAACCAACGTCGCCGATGCGAACCAGACGAAACACTGCAAGCCGCTATGTCACCGGGGGTCTGTCTGGTGTGTGTGAAGCTGCGGTCGGAGCCTGAATAAAGGGTTTTTGGTTTTGTGCTTCGGTCTCATATTGCGCACGTGATGATTACCGAGACCTCCGGCTGTGAGCACTGAGGGTTAAAGCCAGCACCCGATAGCATCACTACACAGCATGCCACGAAGATAAGTTCACTGGCTTGGGTCCGCAGGCGAAAACCCAACTTTACTACGTCCCTTCCCCATGGTGTGAACCGTGCAGCTGGAGACGAGCCTAGGAAGTCTTGCCGCCGCATCAGAGGATACACCGTGACGGCTCTTGGAACATGCGTACTGAAGCAACATGCAACGGAACCGATGAAACCACATGTCACGGGACATATGGGACACAACAGGGCCTCAGTCTCAGCTGTGCTAGGAGTACATGGCAGCCGTCACTCGGCGCCTTGCCTTGGCCAAGCTTGCGGAGTGCCACGTTAGATCTATCGGGCGCGCTGCTATCCAGGGTCGTGGTGCAGACCTCAGCCATCTCGGCCTTGGGCTCTCTTCACCAGAGGATTTGTCACAATTCAGAATTCAGAATGTTCAGAATGGCTGTGGATTTCGATTTTCCAGCTGATCTGCAGCTTCCTGCCTGATAAATGGATTCATCACCCGCGTTCTGGCTTCGAAGCCTGGAGCAAGCAGCTTCTATCAGTTTGTTCTCGAGGATGAGCTTGGTTTTGCAAGGCTCCCGTTCAAGCCGTACTGCAAGCTTCGCTGAGGTGCGAATCTGTCTGCCGTCATCACGAAGCGTGGCTCGGAGGCGCTCTGAACTTATCGACCGCTCCCCAGTTATGAAGCTAAAGAAATGCGAGCTGCGCCTTGCACGAACTCGACGGCAATTCAGGGTGCCACTGTTTGGGGGTTCCACTTGTTCGGACTCCAGTCGGGTCTAGTCTAGGTCTCGATGCCGACGTGTCGCATCTCTGTGTGTGAGTCTCCACGTCGTAGAAGCTGGGAAGCTGGGGAAGTGGCCGAGAGCAGAGTCGGATATTGATGCATCATCCACTGGTCCCAGTCGGTTTCTCTGGATCAGCCGGTCCTAGGCTTGGCAAATCCTCTTGGTGATTTAGCTGAGACTCTGTCTGAGCGCAGGCCCTGACGGGTTTTGATGCCCCGGTCGTCTTCCTTGATGGACGTCGCGATTCGATTCGTGCAGTTGTGGAAAGCGAGGTTGCAGGACCGAGGGCAGAGAGGCTGAAACTCCTTGGGCCTTTGGCTTGGTCTGGTAAGCTACACGGAGTCCTAAACTCGCCGATTCATGGGCAGCTCTCTCTTTCACCTCTCTCTCTCTCTGTTTCTGTCTCTGCCTCTTCCTCAGTCTCTCCCTCTGTCTGTTTTTCCCCCGTTTCTGCAGCTGTTCAACTCAGCCGCCAAATACCGCATGACTCATAGCCAACTAAGTAGCAGCGAAGAACGACCGAGCGAATGAACCAACGAACAGAGGAAGAAACGAAGGAAGGAAGGAAGGAAGGAAGGAAGGAAGGAAGGAAGGAAGGAAACAGCAAAGGAAGAAGCACGAACAGACCGACGGACGACGGACGGACGGACGGACGGACGGACCGACGGACGGAAGGAAGGAAGAAAGGAAGGAAGGAAGCAAGGAAGGAAGGAAGGAAGGAACGAAGGAACGAAGGATCGACGGAACGAAAGAACGGCCATGACGACTTTGAGTTCCCGAGAAAACGGGAAGCATCAATTGAGCCTTCAGCACCCAAAGTGTCCTGGTCAGGTCATTCCAGACACAGGATGTTCTAAACATGGCACGGGCGGCTTCCCGTGCACTGGGGACCAGAACATTGCCCCTAAAGTCGGTAGCTGGCACTGATGACAGAAGGCCTCTGGAACTCTATGAAGCCGAAAAACCGCCTGAACGCAGGACACCTAGCAGCCCTCGCACTTTCAGCCTTGCCTCGAGAACGAGCGGCGCACTCGGGAAGTTTCGCTTGAAGCCTGTCCAGGTAGCGTATAGGCAGTATAGGCATAGGTGAGACACGAAAACCAAGTACTCCTCGACTCTTCGACATGGTATTGGATGGGAAAGACAGCTTTGACATGTCACCGCGTATCTAACGAGAAGGGGTGATCGGACTTAGTCATGGGGGCTGGCAGCAGTGCTTGCATTTGGGTGCCTCAAGAACAGTGTTCGCCAGTGTGTATCGGCAAGGTGGACTGGGTGCAACCTCCTTCCTCTGGCTCGTGCGGTGTCGCAGGCAGAGCAGATGGGCATGTTGGCTCCAGGGCTTCAAAGCCAGTGATAGTGGCCACCTTGGCCACCTGAAGCCTGAAGCTGACAAGTGGGTTTACAGGCAAAATGCAGCAAGGCAAAGACTGGTATCTTTCTAAATTCGCCTGTGTTCATTCACCATTTGCCGGGGTGCAGGCTTGGCTGTCCCCAGGAAATGTTCGTGCTGGCTTGCCCTTTTTGTACTGTTACCGATGGTTCGTGCAGAATTGGAACCGGGACAGCCGTGGTTCCCTCGGCCAGAAAAGAATGAGGCATTGGAGGCTTTGAGGTCTCAGAGCTCACAAATGGGCTTCCTGCGGCGGCTTTTGAAAGGAACTGTGGGCAGTCATGGTCCGGATTGGACGCAGTACTCCTTGCAGACCTCAACAGAACCTGGGCTTTTGACGCCGCCTGGCAGAAGAGGGGCGGGTGTCATATGGTCCAAGAGATGGTGCTATCCACAGTAGATGCGAGGACCTGCGACTGATATTTCTGCACCGCGTTGTGTCAGGGGCTGCATGACTTTCGCCGGACGTTAGAGTCTGCTGGAGGATGCAAGGGAGCATGCAAGACGAATTCAGAAAAAACTAGACGAACAGTGGAGGAAGCAGAGGAGGCATGTGCGCTTTTCCAGATGCTATGGGCTTTGGCAGACGGACAGTTTCAGGGTGTGATGACACTGTGTGTTCCTGTACGATGTTCTCATAATGCTGTCATGGGGGCTCCTTGCGCAGTGAAGGGTTTCCAACTATGAGCTCAAGCCCGGGGATTACTTGATCTTGAAGGGTGTGAGGGACCTGTGGGTTATTGTTATCGCAACCTAGCCACCGTGTGCAATCGGCCGTAGAGTACTGAGCCTGATCTAGGGGCGCGGCTGTCGGGCCACAGCTGAACCATCTCCGAACCCGGCATGGCAATCACCCAAGTCAGACAAGGATCCCACCACCGGCAACGACGTACTTGCCAGGCAAAGGTAGCTGCCAGGGTATACTTCAGGACCGCGCATGTTCATGCAGACCGTAGATGTTCTCGCAGATCCCTGTGCAAGCATTCCAAGTCATTCATAAGCCATCTGCGAAACTTCCGGATGAGCGGTTGAACGTGCAAGACATTATGTAGGATACTGCAGTGCCTGCGATCCACAGACAGGAGTATGAGATGGCAGTTGCACCAGCGTCGGCTGCAGTAAGGCCTCTCTTGAGTTTGTTCGGGTGAAGACCTGATTTTGCTGAGTTCAGGACTTCAAGTTCAAAAGAGCTGGAGAAAGGGCCTTTGTTTGGCTGGGGCAGCAGAATAATGCTAGTGCTACTGTTTGCCTGCATAGCTTTTGAAGCAGGCTATACTCTGCTGCTGCAGCTCGCCAGTGGCCTGCGCTACCATTCTGCTATCGTTGCGTTGCTGCCAGACCAGTAGCAACAGTGCTGGTGCTGAACTCCTGCACCAGAAATCGCTGCCAGGCAGCCAGGCCAAACCCCTTCTCAGCCAAGAGTTCGTGCGACTTGGACTTCCACTTTCAAAGTTCGATGGCGAATGGAAGCAGCAAGTTTGAACAGGAGGCAGTGAGTTTGAAGGGAAAGGTTTTGCTGTCCTATTGAGGTGGTTTCTGCTTGAAGCGAAAGCTTACCGAGCCTTGTCAACGCCATGTCATCATGAGCTTGTGGCAGCTGCATCCACATCCTTTGAATTGGGACAGGCCTCCCCACCCTTGCGGTCTCCACCTAACCCTTCATCCAAAGTAATCGGATGAGACTATGTCAATGTGCAGATCGATAGCATTCCTATGTGAGTTAAGGGATGCAAGCAGGTGAGACGATTCCTTGGTCAGGGGATTTTCCTGATACTTTGCACGCATCGATGTCAAAGTTCAGATATAAACACTTCCGCGGGGGAGTGGGCATGTGGGTGGGTAAATGGGTCATGTACGATGCGAGTTTTCGGTTTGCTAGAGTTTACTGGACGACGTGTTTCGCGGCTTTTGCCGCCTCGTTGGTCTCTGAAGTGCCCCCTCTCCGATGGAGTGTACCCTTCGGCACCAGTTCGGAGCTCGAGCCTTCCAAAGGCACCTCCTGGTCCCATGCGGAACACGTTGAAGCCAAGCGGTGCTATCAGCTGATCAGCTGTCCCGCATCTTCATGCGTCTGCTTAGGTGGAGACCACCTCGACTGCCGGTGCACAGGCTCTGCCTTTCTGCTTTTTCTTGGGGCTGCAGGTCTCAAATAGATTTTCGGTATATCTCGCCGGAGCCCAAGCAGTGTCGTGGACTTGCTTTTCCTGGAGTTTAGGGTGCGGTGCTTGGCCTCTTCCCGCTCCTTGGTTCGTGGTGTCACCGAGAAATGCTGTGCCGCCAACCCTTGCGACTAAACCAAAACTTTCGGCACTAATTCTTTAGCCGAAGATCGGCAAGGCGGTCACCCGCTTCATCTTCGACCTCTGAGAGGTCTGAGGTCAATCACCAGAGTCCGGTCCTCAGTCCATGTGCTAAGAGCTGTGAGCCCGCTGAGACTCTGCAGCTGCGTCAGCTTCGCGAGTGTTTCAGCAGGATCCTTTGCCAGGATCTGCACGCGACCAGGTGCAGAGCTCAGAAAATTCTGAGTTTTTGCAGATAAAGCAGTCTGCTCGCATCAGCGCGAGGCATCGTAGCATGTTGCTGATGGGTGGGGCTTTAAGGCAGTGCATCCACTTCCCAGTGCTCTTCCTATGAGTATGACATTTCCAGCCTACCAGCGTGAAGTCATTGTTGCCCAGCTTTTCTTGAGGTGCACCATGCTATGGATGCTTCTCCAGAGTCGAAGCTTTTCCCATACCTACTCTTGGAAAACTCGTTTAATGCTTGTCGGCAGCTTGTGGTTGGAAGCCCGGCGCTTGAGTCACCAAGCCAGTTCCACCCTCACGCCAGTCAAAGCCTGACCGTGTGTCTGCTTTGGCTTTGTGCTGGTTCTCAAAAGGGGGTGCTGGAGACAGAAGGTTGGTAGCTTGATAGCCAGATTGCTCTGAGAGAGATGCGCCTGAGTCCAGGGCCCTAGGAATCTTTTCGTCCGCACCGAAGGATCATGTACACTGCAACTGTCAGGAGGTCCGCTGTCAGGAAGCCGGTGTTTCGCTTGCCAGAACATTAGTCCCAGCAACCGGAATTTGAAGACCCACCCCGCTTGTGGGCTCAAGAAGAAGCGTGTACATATGTGTGTATGAGTATACCTTTGTATCTAGTGATGATGACAGTGAAGACCGCTGAGTCTGGGTGATCATGATTCAAGGAGTCGGGAAGCCTCTCTCAGAGCGGCAAGATTCTGTTGCACGCCCATGTCCAGTCTGGGTGAATCGAGCTGATGGAAGGTGTTTAGCACCTTAGATCTGGGCTCGATAGGTGGCCTCTGTTGCACTGCAATTTCCGTCTGCTGAAATCTGGTAGAGGCCCCATGTGCTTCCAGACGAAAATGCAGTGACAGGATTTGCAAGCTGTCTGACGATCTTAGTAGTCATGTCGCAAACATCTTCGACGTAGTGAAGTTGTGGTTACTTCTCGGCAGCCAAGACTCTTGCAAGGTCCTTCCTTAGTTGTGGCGTAGTCTTTGAACAGAGCTTGACGGACCAGCATCCAAAGAAGACTTGTAAGCCACTGATGTGGAACAGTCTCCAAGACAGTCGTGCTTGTGCCATTATGTCGCAAAAACTTAAGTAGAGACGCAGGCGACTTTATTCGTCTGTCACGTGAGGCAACTGGAGGGGCTCACATGCCAAGGAAGGCAGAGAAGCAGAAAGTTCAGGAAGCATCGGCAGATTGTGCTTAAATTGGAAACGCAAAGCTCCGAAGCGAAGCGCAGTTCGCCAGAGCACCAGGCAAATCACAGCGCATCAGAGTGCGATGTGAAGCGCAGAGCGCCAGAGTGCCAAGCACAATGCATCAGAGCATCAGGTCAGGCAGAGTGCTTCAAAGCGTCAGGCGAAGCGGTGCATGAAAGCGGGCGGAGAGGCACAGTACAGCTTCAAGTCAAGCAGAGTGTTTCAGAACGCTAGGCGAAGCAGTGTGTCAGAGTGACAGGCGCAGTAGAGTGAATCAAAAGCTTCTTCAGCGTTATTGTTGTGAAAGTTCAGCTTTTGAGCCGTGGGCGAGATGGACAAAGAGGACTTCGGGCTGGACGAGGCGATCAAGGACAAGGGCGCCGTCCTGAACAAGTTCGGCCTTCTGTTCAAGGCGACGGCGCTGGACGACCCCGACGGCACGACCCCGACTCAGAGCAGAGCACGTGGCGAGGCAAGCTGCTCCAGGACATTGGCCGTGCCGTGGGAAAGAACAAGGACGAGGAAGGCGACTGGTCGGCCTCGAAGTGGCCCAAACCGGGCGTTCGCTACCGCGGCGGCACGGCCCCAAGCCCACCAGTGTGGAACTACGCCAAGGAGGACATACGAGCCTACGACCGCTTCGAGAGGAAGGTCCGAGTCTGGGAGCGACAGGTCAAATCTTTTATGCCTCCGCGGGAGGCAGCTATGGCCCTTTACGTTTCCCTTCGAGGCGAAGCTGAGGAGGAGCTCGAATACATGGACGTGAGTCAGATCGACACAGACAACGGCGTGGAAAACATCCTCGGAGCTCTTCGCCGACCGTTGCAGACCCGGGCGATTTATCTCAAAAGAAAATTCCTCCACGACTACGAGTACCTCGGCCGACGCAACACTGAGACCGTACGTGCCTTCTGTAACAGGTACCAGAGAACCGAGAAGTCTTTGCTCGCAGCCGGCATCGACGTGTCCGGTATGTACGATGCAGAGGCCAGGGGGTCCCGACTTCTGGACCGCCTTCGGCTTACCGCAGAGCAGCAGAGGCTGATTCTGGTGGCCACCGGCCAGAGCCTCAGCTTCGATGCGGTGAAGGGCGCAGCCCAGATGCAGTTCCCAGAGCACCGCCCTGCGCCACCGACAGTGTACCACCGGGAGTTTGAAAACGGAGGCGGCCGAGCACAAGATGAAGGCAAGGACGCGGGCGGCAAGCCCGGGAACAAGGGCGGCGGCAAGGACCACAGACAGCAACGGCCGCCGAAGGGCAGCAGAAAGAACCAGCCACGGCCCTACAAGGCCTACGTCGCCGAGGAAGCCCCCGAGCACGAGGACGAGAACCCCGGCGACGACCTCCCCGAGATTCCCGAGGGAGAGGAGGAAGACGAGAACGAGGCCGCCGACGAGGAAGAAATGATCCCCGATGGCGGCGACGACGGCGACAACCTGGAGACGGTGATGCAGGAGGTCGCCGAGTGCTTGACGGTGACCGCTCGGAGGCTTCAGGGCGTTACCTTGGGCCGCAAATTCAGCAGCGGAGGAAAAGGCAAGTCAATCGAGCAGCGCAAGAAGAACTCCCGCTGCTCTGTTTTCGGCGAGAAAGGACACTGGCAAGGAGACGCAGCTTGCCCAATGTCAGGAAAGGTGCCCGCACAAGCAGTGCTTCGCAGGCGGCCGGCACCAAGCCCGAGAGCAAGAAGGGAGCGGCAAAGAGAGTGCTTGCAGTTTACCACCCCAGCGGAGTAGAAGCCCAGGCCCCGATGCAGGACCCAAGCCCCGAGGAGACCCAGGAGTTCGGCTCGTATTTTACCACAGTCATGACTATGCATGCGGGGCCTCTTCAAGTTTTCCTTAGCAGGCCTGGGGATTTCGCGGGGTACGCCGTTCTTGATACAGCTTGCCAGCGAAGCCTTTGTAGCAGCAAGTGGTTGGAGAAGCACCGTCAGCAGCTACGACAACTTAAGTTGGATGCGAAGACACAGGCCGAGCACGAGGGTTTTCAGTTCGGCACCGGCCCCGTCCAGACAAGCTGTATGCACGCATACTTTCCTGTATGTCTAGACGGCAGTCACAGCACATGTGCTTTGTTCGGTGCCTCGGTCATGGACGGTGAGAGTGACATACCACTTCTACTTAGCCTTGGCATGATTGCAAAGAGGCTCAAAGCAGTCCTGGACTTCCCTAGGAACAAAGCCTACCTCGGAGCATTCGACTCAGAAGTGCCACTCGTGAAGATCAATGGTCATGTTTGCATTGGGCTGCACAACTTTCCTGCTGATCATTTCAAGAAATGGCAAGCCCTGAGCAGCATTTTGGATCAAGGCGACCCGGACCCCGAGTTCATCAAGCTTCCCGCGACCACGGCGCCACATGCGTCCGCAGACGGTGCCCCCTTTGTGGCTCCAGGCATGGCGGCGCCTGGTACGAGCGATTCTCGGAGCCGAGCTGCACCTCCTGAGGTTCATGTCGCAGACTGTTCGGTTGGGGCTTCGCAAGAGGTCTTGGCTGTCGCACCAGGACCCGATCCACCAGAAGTTCACCGACGAGCTCATCGAGAACCTCAACAAGGCGTGCGAGCACCCGGCCCACATGCTCGCGAGGTCCGGCAACAAGTACGGAAGTTTCCAGAAGTGCATGCAGTGCGCAACCCGGTGGAAATGGGTGCTCGGAGCGTGGGAAGAACTGCCCTCCTCACCATTGCCACAGCCGTTGCCTCGCTCGGATCCCTCTGGAGCGCGGCCAATCTTGGCGACCAAGCTGGTGCCGAAGGCGACTTCTTCGACAAGCAGTTCTTCGGGATACCGCCCGGTCACTGGACTCAGGGCCAAGGCGAAACCGGAACCACGACGTCGAGGAGAACTGGACTTTACCGAGGCGGAGGTGCTCTCTATGAACCTCCACAAGGGAGCTCCTTCGAAGTTCGGCCAGGCGGTGATGAGCGAGGAGGAGCTGGAGAAGCTGGAGGCGCAGTACCAACGCGGAGTTGCAGCGCGCCGGGCGCTCGTGGAGACCGAGCAGGACGACAAGGAGGGCAGCGAGTACGCATGGGATCTGGTGGAAGATCCCTGAAAACGGGTCATACGACCTGGCTGGTGGGCGAGCTGCGGCGAGCCCACAGGACCTACGAGGCGGAGATCAAGTACCACGACGCGCTGCCCACGTACAAGGACGTCCACAACCACCCGAAGATCGACCTGTGCGAGGTGTTCGCGACCGCGGCCCGCGTCACCAACGAGGCGAACCACTACGGCATCGCGGCTTTGGAGCCTTTCGGAACGAACTTTGGCCACGACTTTCGGCGCCACAAGCAGCAGCAGGCGCTAAAGCAGGCCATCACAAACCTCCAGCCACTTGTGCTCTTTGTGAACTGGCCCCAGGCCGAGGACCACGACTTCGATGTTTTGTGCAAGTTCGGAGCCTGGGCCTGCGCTGAGCAAGAGAAGGCCGGCCGCGTTTTCGTCGGACATGCCCGGCCTGGTTCCAAACTGTGGCGCCACCAGGCCGTGCGAGACTTGATGCGCCACAAGAACGTCACCGCAACTACATGCCACCACGGCGCCTATGGACTCGAGGATGCCGAAGGCTACCCCTCGGTCATCGAGAGCAAGTGGATCACCAAGCCTGGTCCTGTCTGAGAAGCTGAGCCAACGACTCGACGAGGCCCAGCTCCACTACCAGCCGGTGACCCCCAACGCCGCGGACTACAACAACGAGTTGTGTGATGGATTGGTGCACGCCATCCTCCAGGGCATCCAAACAGAAGCCCGGAGAAGGAACCCAGCAAGGTTTCAGGTCAAGCCGCGCGACGTTTTGGCAGCACGCCCCTTGAACGACCCGGTCGGCTGTGGCCAAGTTTTGGACGAGCTGGAGGCGAGGTTTGCCAACACCCACAAGAAGCCCTTCACCTTGACGGCCAACGACCCTCTCCAGAACGACTTATTGAAAGGCTTGATTCCCTAGAAACTGGAGCGAGTGCAGGCGGCGTGGACACCGCAAAGCATCCGGTTCCCTCAGGATATTCCTTTTACTCACCGTGGCGCAGCACTACGACTGAACTCCGGGGAGTTAGTTCTCGAGAGCGAGGACATGGCACAAGTGACATACCCAAAGCAGCGGTACGTGAAGCCGGTTCGAGTGGCCTTGTTCTTCTTCGGCGTCCCCCTGGAGGAGACCCAGAATACAGCCGAGCCCGTCGAGGAGCAGACCACAGGCCAGACAAGCGCGAGACCATTGCATGGATTCCAGACCGAGCTGTGGTACGAGGACGCCCCGAAAGAAGTGGACCAGCAACTTAGATACAGCCTGGCCCGGCTCCACGTGAACATGGGTCATGCGCCCAAAGCCGAGCTCATCAGGATGCTAGCCGCATCTGGGAACTTGAGCAGGAAAGTCCTTATGGGACTAGATTGTCTTCGCTGCGGCTCGTGCATCAGAATGCAAAAGCCCAAGCCACCGCCGACTTCTTCGGTGGCACCAGCTTTTACCGGCTACTTCGGCGAGGTCCTCCAGGCCGACCTCGTCTACATCAGGCTGATCACCGGGACTGCGGTGCCAGTGTTAGGCATGTGCTGCGAGGCCACGAACTACCGCTGCGGCAAAGCACTGCCCTCACGGTCCCCGTCCGACGTGCTGCAGGTGATTTTGGACCTTTGGTACCGGCCCCTCGGACTACCTCTTCACTTTAAGTGCAATGCCGGGGGAGAGTTCGGCGCAGAGGTTGCAGCATGGCACGGGCAATCGGGAGTGCTGCAAGAGATCGTGCCCGCTGAGGCACACCACAGGTTGGGCAAGATCGAGCGCCGCAACAGCCTGATGAGATCACTGGCCGAGCGGATCATTGACGAGCGCGGCGTGCACAACATCGAGGAGCTGAACATGGTTCTCCCGGCCGTGACCTTTAGCATGAACGCCGGCACCTACTCCTACGGACGCTCTCCTTTCCAAGCTGTCTTTGGAAGGGTGCCACGACCCCTCGGAGACCTATCATCTGATCCTCGGGCACTCGTGCTTTCACCACAGCCGGGCGAGAAGAGATTGGCCCCAGAACTTCTTCGCGCCGATGCTCTCAAAGCCCTTGCTGAGTTCAACGCGTCGAGCGCCGTGAAAAGGGCACTGCTGCGCAAAACCAGGCACTTGGACCCTTCCGACTACCAGCCGGGACAAGCTTTGGCATATTGGCGATGGAGTGGACGATCGCGCCAACACAAGAAGGGTGCCTGGAATCTTGGACGTTTTCTCTCCGCCGACCCAGACCGCAAGAGCATCTGGCTGCAAGTGGGAAGCACGACGATCAAAGTTGCTAACAACCAAGTGCGCGCCGCTTGCGGATGGGAGGAGTGGACACCTTCAACCGAAGACCTCAAGATCCTCAAGAATGCCGAGCACAACCTTCGAGATGCTCTTTGGGAAGATCACACCGAAGAGCCACCGGACGAACTTAACGAGCCGTCCACCGATCCTGGAGCCATAGCAGCGCCGCCACCTCCTCTACCACAAGAGCTGCAGCGCAACGTCGACTACTGGCGGTACACGGACGACGGTGTGGTGAGAGTTCACGTCGAACCGCGACGGGAACTTTACGTGCCACGGGCTCCAGAGTGCAACTTCGACCTCGAGGAGCTCGCCGACACCAGGAGAACTTACCGGAACGAGGCCATGGAACAGCTACCAGAAGACCAATGGCGGGATCCTCTATGCCACCAGGTCTTCGACGAGCCCTGGACCGGTACAACAACCTTCTTCTGGAAGCTGCCTCCCGGAGACCAACCGAGGCCAACGCGTGAGCTACCACAACCTCTTCCCGTTGGACCTTCTGAACCACTACCAGTTGCAGGAAACAGTCGTCGACAACAGCAACGGACTCACCTCCAACAACAACAACAACAACAACAACAACAACAACAACAACAGACACAGGTGGGGCCATCAGATGAAGCAGATGATGCAGGAGACAGTCGTCGGAAACAGCCACGGACTTACATCCAACAACAACAACAGACGCAGGTGGTGGGCCCTTTTATACAGAATACGATCGTGAACCGTCAGGACAACCGCAAGATCCAGATCAGTGCCGGTACCACCTACGCCAAGAAGTAGAAGGGGACGATCCAGGACACCGACAGGGAGAAGGACAGCTACGAGTACGCAAGAACAGGCCGCAGAGAGCGCAGCTTTGGAAAGCGCAGCTTACACCTCACCTGGCTTTAGTCCCGGAGTTCCCGAGACACCGCAGGTCAGTCAGGTACCAGGAACACCTGACTGGACAGAACTTCCTCCACAACAACCTGTTCCTGGTCCGGTTCCCGAGGCCCTTGCTGAGCAGGCCTCAGAACCACACGTTCAGCACGACGAGCACAACGAACCGAACCCTTTGGCAGCAGCCAGCACGAACTCGGGCAACAATGCCCCGGAGCCAGCAGCCTCTTCGGCAGCAGGCTCAGACCAAATCCCAGTCGACAACGAAGCAATGCCAATGTTACCGCAAAAGCGGACGGCAGCCGTCTTGGTCAGTAGCTTCCCTCTGAACTTCGACTTCTTCGACAACGGCGAGGCCACCCTCAAGGACGGAAGCGACCAGGACAACGTGCCCTTCCGGAGGAACTACTACTACAAGTGCTACCTCAACAGCACCACCCGGAAGGAGGACATGAATGCCGCGGGAGTGGAAGAAGATCAGAGCCGAGAGGACGCCAGCACCGACGACGAGGCAATGAACCATTCCAACCAGCGCACACACAGCCGCAAAGAGCTGAAACAGTTGGACCGCGAGATTCCCTGGCGGCAACTCTTGGAGCTTCCTCGTGCTCAGTACGAGGAATACTTGGAGGCCACGCGGCTTGAGAGCGACACTTGGATGTCATGGGGTGGCATTCAGCCGGTCTCCAAGAAGGAGGCAAAGCGCATCATGGGCGACCCCAAGCTCTCCCGGCGAGTTTTGAAAGCTCGTGCCGCCTATCGCGACAAGGCGAAAGGAGTGGGACCTCTCAGGGCGAAGTGCAGAGTCGTCATCATAGGATGTGCCGACCCCGACATCTTCTCGATCTCGAGGGATAGCCCAACTCCAACTCGACTCTCGGAGGCCCTCCTGATGACGATTGCCACTGCCGGCGCCAACAGGGAGCTGGGTTTCTCAGGAGACCGTTGGTTCCTTTGGGCTTCGGACGCTAAAAGTGCCTTTTTACAGGGCACTCAGGACACCTCCGAAAGAGCAGGCCCTTTGTTCATGCTTCCGCCCAAGGACCCGCTGATGGAAGAGACAAACAGTTTCCCGGCCGATCTCTACGTCATCACAGGAAACTGTTATGGCTTACCAAACGCTCCGAGAGTTTGGTATCTCAGAGTCCATATGAAGATGACAGAAGGCGGTTTCACACGGCACGGTTTTGACAGGTGCCTCTACTACTTCCTCGACGAGAATAAGACCCTCGTCGCCGTCGTCATCATCCACGTGGACGACTTCTTGGCGACCTACAGCGAGAAGTTCCCCGTGGAAGTGCTGGAGAAAATGTTCGTTTGGGGCAGTGTGATGAAAGTAACGCCACAGCAGCCGGCCACCTACCGCGGGAAGGAGATCACAATGATCGAGAACAACGGCCGCTTCAAGTATGTCGTGACCCAGAAGGTCTTCACCGACAGCATGGACAGGGGCAAGATTCCCCGCGGCAGGAGTCAACAACCTGAGAAGTTGACCGCGGAGGAGTGGAGCGAATTTGGCAGCGTCTCCGGTTCTCTTCAATGGCTGGCCGGCAAACGAGACCAGAACTAGGGCCATTGGTTTCTCTGTCCAACCAAGGCCAAGACACGAGCTACAAAGATCTCCAGCGGCTATACGCTGCCGCCGACTACGCGAAGGAGACCTCCGGCCACGGACTCGTGTACCAGGACGTCCCCCTGAACAAGTTCTCTGCCTTCGTCACCTACACGGACAGCAGCTTCGCCAACGCCGGTGTTAAAAGCCAGTACGGTGTCTGCGTTTTCTTGACGGCACCTTCAGTAGCCGACCGAGTGGAGAAAGCTACTTTGGTGGACTGGAAGTCCGCTCGTTCCGCTCGAGTTTGCCGCTCAACACTAGCGGCAGAAGCAAGCGCAGCTGACGAGGGCTGTGACACAGCGACCTTCGCAAACCTCTGCCTCAGCGAGCTCTTCACCGGCGAGCCAGCTTACAAGGTGCACCCGCAGTTCTTGAACTTCCAGGTAACGGACGCGAAAAGCCTTTACGACACTGTCGTTGCTGAGAACCCGAGTGTATCGGACAAGCGATCACTCGTGAATATACGAAGTGTGCAGCAGTCAGTGAGGCCTCGAGACTTCAGGTGGGTGCCGACAGCATTGATGCTGGCAGATGCTTTGACAAAGCTCGATTGGAAGCTTTGCTGTGCATTCTCGGAGTTTCTTCAAAACCCGAAGTTGCAGCTAACGGATCAAGGCTCAAAAGAAAATAAGACCAGTGTGAAAGTTCAGCTTTTGAGCCGTGAGCCTTGAACCTGTTGCTGCCGTTACTCCCGAGACGGCCGCTGAGCCTTTGCCTTTTGGCGTGAAAACCTGTGCGCACATGGTGACCCTTTGATCATTCAGATTGCTTTGCTGTAAGAATTGTTAGCAAAACTCGAATGTTCTCAGAGCTTCGGATATGGAGCATCTTTTAAAAGACAGCTTTGAGCTAAAGTAGGGGCTATAGGATGGATGCTGGTATGTTGAGCCATCAGCTGCTATTCAAGATTTTTTTTCAAGTGCGTGTGACCAGTGAAGCTGCTCCGGGCAAGAATTTTCCAATGATGAACTGCATATACCTCTTACAGCACGCATGCGAGAATGTCATTGGCATTTTTCTGTGGCCTGGCCTAAGCCTGAATGCAGCCCGGTCCGAATGAGACGTCACTACAATGAGTTCGGACTCAAACCGGTTGCTGCCGTCGAGGGTTTTCAGCAAACATAGCAAGCACCTCTGCTGCTCCTCTGATGTTTTCCTGAGGGCGGCGTAACCAGGACAACACATGGACTCGCATAGTGCAGGTGTTGGTGTTCAACATCTTGAACCGACGGTGGAGAGACCGGAGAGCTACGCCCTTCTGGTTAATGCGGATTTGTGGTGCTCGCAAGGCTTCCAGTCCACCTCACATAGTCTAGTTCGCCGGCTGTCAAAGGCTGGACGAGTCAGGTTCTCAAGCCGGATAAGACAAGAGCTTCTCAATCGAAGCAGGCTTGTAGCCTCCTTTTCGGATTGCTTGTGTGAATTGAGAGATTAAAGAAGTCAGGTCTTCATGAACCAGCTGTGAATGCCTTGGCATCACATATCCTCTAAAGCGTTTCTCCTGTTGCGGTCTGTCATTGCTGATATGCATGTCGCGCCGGGCCGAATGAAGGTTTTGCCAGGAAGTTCCAAAGAATTAATGACCCACATGCATTGGACTTCAATTCACCACATTACTGTGTTCAGTCATCCGGCAAGCCTCCTTCGACTGCTCATAAGCAGTAATGTCTAGGAACTTTCAGACGGCAGGACGTCTGCAAGCTGTGAACCACCCTTGCCATAGAAAGGGTCGTAAACGACAGTGCCGCTTACCGCACAGTGTGATCTGCTGGGGAAGACGTGGATGTAACTGTTGCTGCTGTCCTTGCGGTGCTTGCCGGCCGCATTCACACCCAGAAACAATTATTGGTTTCACGGGCTGCGAGTAGGATTGTTTTTTGGCTTGATGACTTGGCTTCAAGCTCATTTGCAATGCTCTCTGGGTCGGGGAAGAGGGTAGAAGGCAGCACCCTGTTTCTTCGGAGGGTTTTCTGCTATCGGAGGAGTGCCCAATCATGCCACAGATCTTGGCAGTGTCTAGGGCGGATTCTGATGCGGGCAAGAGTGGTGGGCCAGCCTTAGCTGGCAGAAGCCTTGTTGCGTCTCACGAAGAGGCAAGAGGCTCGCGATGCCATGTTTGACCCAGCACAAGATTCAGCACAAGTGCACTCTGGCTTCTTTTGAGCTTGCACTGTTTGCATATCAGGTAATTTGGGAGCTGTTGTCTAATTTCGCGAAGGAATTAGTGAGTCGGCCGTCCGTCCGGAACCAGATGCTTGTGCTTGCTGGCGCACAGCTCGTGGTCGATGTTTGATTGCCGCAGAGGGCTAAGAATGTCTCGATCGCAAACAGCAGAATCATAGTCCTCGGTATCTCTAGGAGAGAAATAGGAGTTTCAGCTCAAGGTCGAGGCCTTGAGAGTGATTTCAACGACATGTGGGGTCTCAGAACTCACACAGTCCTAGCTGGGTTGCGAAGCCTCTCCAGCGATGCTCCCTCCCTCGATGGTCGACACTGGAGCATGTTGTGCAGCAACGGCGCAGCCAATGGCTGTGGGCACGGCATCACGGTGCGCCAGCCAAGCTAAGTTCAAGTCTCACCGGAGTTCGTTGCCTGCCAGACCGGAGATATGTCCTCATGCCGATGCCGTCATGTCGTCGTGCTGTCGTTGTGATGGATGGCTTGTTGACGTTCGAGCTTTGAGGACCTGTTTTCTGGGTGCTTCGATCTAGACCCAAGTATGTGGGTCTCGTTGATTTGCCGAGACCGAAACTTCTGCATGCCCAGTCTGGAAAAAGGTCACTTGTGTGACGTCGTCTCGAGTCCAACAGCAGTTCAGCCCTGATCACTTGACGGGCAGAGCCCCGAACCAGAAGTTTGACTGGTTCCGTTTCTGCCATGCCGAGTTACATCCGCAACCGCCCAGGTTCAATGCGTGATTTCGCAGGATCTCCAGAATTAGGCTTGTAGCTTTCAGGTCTGCGGGCCACTGAAAGTAGAACCTTCAGCTTTTGCAAGCACTTGCTCATCGCTGGAGTGTACTGTCCGGTGGCAGGTCGCTGCAGAATTCTCGGGTACACTGAAGTTTTTGTTGTCGTCATCTTCCGGTCATGGTCATGCATGCTGTCCGCCATGTTTGGGCTGCCAGACAAGGCAGATGCGAATGCTCCGTCAAGCCCATTTAGTGAATTTCAATGCCTCACCATGCCCAGCCCCACTTTTTTGTCTCGCCCTGAAAGATATTGCTGGGCATGGTATCCACCCACCCAGACCTACCCAGACCCACCCACATGCACCCACCCGAAGCAGGCACCATGCATGCAGGCACGCATTCATGCACGTATGCACATTCACTCGCTCGTGCAGTCATGTTTGTCCGAACTCCAACAGGCCAAGTTGTGCTGTGCCTCCGGCACTGTTTCTGCAGCTGCCAAGCGAAATCCCGACGAGGCAGGAACGGGTGTCCGTCGGGGTGGAGACTTTCCTCGTAAATGACACGCGTGGTGACTTTGGAATGCGTGGCTTGGTGCAGCTTCTCAAGTTCGGTGGATCGAGACTTTGGTGGGAGCGGGCAAGCCGGGAAAAGATCAGGCACCTACCTCTGGGGGTGTGGCAGGAAAGCCTTTCCTTACGCATGACATGCACTGCAGTTGTATGAAGAGCAGTGCTGCAGACAGCAGCAGTAGTCAGAACCATTGACGACGACCATGACAAGGACCAGCCCCATCAGGAGCAGGCGGAGGATACGAGTGATAAATAGCACATGCAACCAAAGTTTGAACCTCATCCTCCACACAGCAACCTGCAACAACGTCAGTAACAACGCCACCATCAGCGGCGCTGCGACCACCAAACACCAACCACTATGGCTGCGACTACGGCGACGACGAGTACCACTAGTGCTGCTACTACTTCTACTACTGCTACTAGTGCTACTGCTGCTACTACTGCTACTGCTGCTGCTACTACGACGTTCACGAGGACGGTGACGACGACGACGACTACTACTAGTACTCCTACGGCGCTTCTGCTACTGCTAATGGCTTACTCTTACTGCTATTTGCAGGACTAGTACGACAGCATCAACTATTACTACCCCGCGACCACGACGACTATTACTGGTACTAGTAGTAGTAGTAGTAGTAGTAGTAGTAGTAGTAGTCGTAGTAGTAGTATTAGTAGCAGTAGTAGTAGTAGTAGTAGTAGTAGTAGTCTACTACTACTACGACTACGACTACTACTACTGCTACTACTACTACTACTACTAGTACTACTAGTACTACTACTACTACTA